GCCACGAACCGCTCCCGCAGGTAGGAGGGGAGCACCCCCTGCAGCCCTGCGAGCGGGAGCAGCCCCAAGAGCATCAGGGCACGCGCGAGGCCCCTCGAAAACATCACGGGGGCGAGGAGGGAATGAGCCTTCTCCCTCCCTGGGCTCCCACCCTCGTGTGATTTTCATATCAATTTGCTGTGGAGCCACTTGTCTGGGCTCTGCATCGATCTCGGCTCCTCTTGGCAGACAAGCAACAACCTCATCCTGCCCAGCTTTGATTATTTTCATCCCCCCTCCGCCCCAGCCCTTAAATTAAAAGCAGCATCTCAAGCCAGCATCCTCCCCTGTGGCCCCCTGCGTGCCCACGAGCATCCCACAGTGGCGCTCGTCCGTCACCACGTCCCCACCAGCCTGGCCATCCCCTGGAGCTGCACTTTGTTCTCGGGGCTCTGCACCAGGACGGAGCTCACCGAGTCCAGGTTGTCGTAGTTGCTGCAGCCAAGTGGCCCTGTCCGTGTTTCGGTCACCTAAAGGGGGGACCCACAGGCGGTCAGGGACACAGGAGGGGACCCAGGGCATGTGCCACCCCACCGAAAGTGCTGCAAATAACCCCTAGCCAGGCTTGCGGTGCCCCACTCCCCGTAGCAAGCCGATGCTTGGAGAGGAGAACTAATTGCCTGCTAATTGGCGTGTTGACAGGCGGCAGCCCTGCCTGCAGCCCGCTGAAAAATGTGCCTTCATTAGCGTGCCCAATTTCCCATAAATAACGCGGATGTGCTAACTTTGCCTGCTCTCTGTCTCCCCTCCCCAGGGTGTGATGCTGCTTGAAGGGCTCGGCCAGCTTTGGGGGGCCGCTGGCAAGGCCGGGGCCGCTGCCTGCCTGCGCTGCCCTCTCCCTCGCACCCTCACCTACCTTGATGGCGGCCGTGGCGATCTGGATGTGGTGGAGCCTGCGCAGCGTGCTCTCCCGGTCGATGAAGTAGGAGGCTGCCAGCTGGTGCAGGGTCTCCAGCGAGACCCCCGAACTGTTCCCGGCCCCCCCAGCGGGCTCTGCCCTCCGGCTCAGCTTGCGCTTGTCCACAAAAATGGTCAGGGATTCCTCTCCTGGGGGGACACGCAACACTTTTGGGGGGCTGCTGGGCTCCCCCCATCCCCCTCCTTGGCCGCATTTCTCTGGCAGTGCTTATTTCCCCACCTTCCCTCCTTTGCCCGCTGCCTTCTTTGAGGGAAGCAAGCGGGGAGCAAGCACCCCCCAGCACTCACCTCCCAGTGTGGCGGCGAGCAAGAAGTGGGTCCCATACTTTTTGATGAGACTGTCAGTGATCTGCTGGGGGCTGGGCCGCCGCCCCAGCAGACGGATGTTGCGGATGAATTCGGGGGCCAGGGAAAGTGGCAGGCTGAAGAAGTCTTTCCTCTCCAAGGCCAAATTATTCACCTTCCAGCGAGCAAACTCTCTGCAGGAGGAGAGCAGTGGTGGGTGGGGAGAGGGTACAAAGCCCGTCTGGTCACCCCCTGTGCTCACCGTCCCCTTTGCTGTCCCCAGTGTCCCCCATGGGACAGGGGATCAGTAGGTGGAAGGACTCCTGCTGGGACCATCCCCACCTCCCCATCCCTGCGGAGGTGAAGGACCCGCTGCGTGCTCTTGCCAGCCACAGACCCAGCCAGAAGGAAACCTTCGTCCCTCCCTAAGCCATCGATGGCGATAACAAGCTACAAGCAGCGGAGATGCTTGACATTGATTAATCAGGCACCTCCGGCAGGCATTAATCACAGCCCAGGGCAGGGCCACAGCCTTTTCCAGCCCGCTGGGCTGGATGGGCCTCATCCATCCCCATCCCTATGGATCCCAGTGAAAAACTGACACCTGGGGCTTTCATGGTTTTAGGTATTGGCAGCATTTTGTAGGAAGCAGGAGGTGTTGGAATGTGGTGAGGTTGGTGGTGGGTCCCTTTCTAGCTCTGGAGGCTGTGAATGCGCCTCCCCTTCACATCCCCAGGCCCTTGGGGTAGCCTGGCCCTGGGCGGGGGGGGGTGACCAGCCTCAAACTAGCAATGGCCCCCTAAAGAACCAGCAGCCATTTTCAGCCTAATCTTCAGGATTTTGTTCTAATTAAAACCAGGCAGCAGCTTTCAGACAGTTTAATTAGGACTGGTTGGGAAAGGACGGAGAGGAGGAGGAGGGAGGGGTGGATGGATGCAAAACAGCTGAGGGGCTTGGCGGGTGCTGGTTTGCCTCCCACCATGATTTTTGGGCCCAGAGAGTGGCGTGTTGGGGCCAGGAGCAGAGCTGGGGGTGAGGCTGGGGGGGATGCTCCTCTCCCCATGCACGCACACTCCCTGGGCACGAGCCAGCTGCTGTCCCTCCGGCTGCTCCTTCCTGTCCCACTACCGTCACCGGCAGCATCCCCAGAGGATGCGGGTCCCTGGGCATGGCAGTGTCAGTGCATAGGAAAGGAGCGAGGGGGGAGAGGAGATCTCTAGGGGTGCCTGGCTGCATAACAAGGCTGCCATCCCGGCACCCACGTCAGCTCCCCGGGAGGCAGCGGCCAGGCTTTGCTCAGCTGCTGGAAACCCCCGGGGCTTGGCATCAGCAAAGAGAGGAAGGGAAAGGCTCGTTAGCAGGAGGCGACAGCCCCAATTAGCACCGGGAGGCAGTGGAGTATGTTTCCCACGCTGTCATGGGGTGGCCCTTTGCTGGGGTCAGTGGGCCCCACCGCTTCTGAACCTCATTCTCTCCTGGCAAGAAACCCCTCCAGCACTGGCCCCCCGCATGTAGCATCCCATTGCCGTAGTCTATGGGGCGATGGCACCGGGGACATGCCAGGGGGTCAGTCAGGGTGCTTTTCACAAGCCCCAGCAGCATCCCAGCCCCAGATGGCTGGCAGTCCAAGCAGGCTCCGTAATCCAGCACAGAGATATCTTTGTGCATGGCAAAAGGACAAGGGAGCATCCCTCTGTGCCTCTCACCATAAGGGCTGATCCCATCTCAGCCTGCACACCAAAACACTCCCAGCTTGGGGCAAACCCAGCCCGGAGCCCATCCCAGCCATGCCACTAGCATCCTGGGGGGCTGCTGTTATACTCCCTGGGAAAGCAGCATCTCACATACACCCACCCGCGGCCTCTCCCAGGGAGCAGCCTCCTCCCGCACATAGGGGTCTGCTCTGCTGTGCCCTCTGCAGCCCCCCACACTGCAGCCCCCTCCCAGGGTGCCCGCCGAAGGGCTGGCCCCTGGCGCTGCCTCTCACCTGTAGATCCTGTACCTGGTGGTGAAACCCTGCCGGTAGCGCTCCATGAAGTCCACATAATCCTGGGCTCGGTAGAAGGGTCCCCGGTCGGTGAGGAGCCAGTCAAGGGGTGCCCGGCCAGAGGACGAGGAGGATGAGGAGGAGGAGGAAGGGGTCGCAGCGGCGGGATGGTGCTGGGGCACCCTGCCCCCCCCCTCGTCACCCCGCGGCGATCCTCTGGGACAGCCCTGCCCTGCAACAGCACCGCACAAAGCGGGGAGCCTGTGAGGCCGGTGGCACGGGGCGAGGTGCCAGGGGGATGAATTTCAAATATAATATATAAACCGGGTGCATCCACAAGGCAAGGGAAATTGGGGTTTTGCTTTGGAGAGGCTGCTGGGATGTGGATGAAGGGAAAGCCTTGCTCTGGGGAAAGCCATGTGTCAGGCATGGACCAGTTGTGCCGCAGGAGGTAAGAGTTCATGGGGTGGGGGTGCTGGCTGCTGCTGAAGCTAAATGAAAATTTGTTTAGTGAGGAATTTCTGGCTTTTTCTCCATGTTTTTCTCTGCCATGCATCAGGCCAACAACCCAACCTTGCTGCTGTGGGGTGCCCACGCAGTGGGGATGGTGGGCTGCCTCTGCGCCCTGCACTTCGGGGATGCCTCTCGCGAGCATGTGCATCTTGGTTTATGGGGGCTAAAAAAATAAGAAACATTGAGAACCGGAAAAAATGAGCTTCTCTAGGTATGGGCTGAGCCGTATGTGGTTGATGTTAGACCTTCCTTTGCATCCTGCCGGTGGCTGAGGTGATGGATGAATGAATGGATGGGTGGGTGGGTTGATGTCCACCCCAAGGCTGGCTGGGCTGATCACGCTGGTGTTTTGCATGCAATTAGCATTTCTCTCAAGACAAGATCTTGCTGGTCTCAGTTCAGGGTGGCACTGTCTGCGGGAGCTTTGCTGGGTGCAGCGGCCCCAGAGCCAGAGCCTGAATTTGCAAGTGCAGCTGGGAGATGGGGTGAAGTGTCCTGCCAAGCAGCAAGAGCTGTTTGCCTAAAAATAGGGCCCCCATCACCGCAGTGCTCCCAGGGGAGTGATTTTTATTCCAGGCAGGTGGCCGGCAGGGGCCCGGCACCCAAATGCTTGCCCCTGCCGAGAACACACCAGCCCCGCGCTTTCCCAGTCGGGGCTTTGCTGGATGAATCATCGCACTTTAACACGTATTATTATTTTTCAGATTTTTTTTTTTTCTCCCTCTTTTCTATTTTTAAACCCTTAAGGGTGTGCTTTGATTACGCTTTCTCAGCTTCTCGCTCAGCCCTCGAGGCCAGGGCCCTGTTAATTTTAAATAAAAGCTGAGATTTTCACATCACCAGATTGGGGGTGCCAGGGCAGCGGGGCAGGCAGGAGCAGCAGGCAGGGTTTTTTCTATTTCCCCCCCCCCGCACTGTTTTGACACATGTCACCCTGGTTTCTCCTAGCCTTGCAGGCAGCCTGCATAATGCCCTGGTCGTTGCCTCCTGCTCCTGGCATGTGGAGTCTCCCATGGCCATGACATGGCCAAATCCTGGCCCGAATGAACGGGCTGCCACATCAGGGTGGGCAGGAGTTTTTGGGACCAGCAACTCATCCTCACTCCACACCTCGAGGGTTGGAGGGGGTGTCCCTCCCCGAAACGTGGCTGCTCACGGACATGCTCGTGCACTGCCACGTGTGGGTGATGGCTGAGCAGCTGAGGCACTTCAGCTGCTCTGAAATCTTCCCTGCCTGCAACCAAAGCTGGGCAGGGGGAAGCAGGCAGCCAGGATGCTGAGGCTGCCCGAAGCAGAAAAGCGCCTTGCTCTCTTCCCCAGGAATATCCATAGATGCAATTAAAATTGAGGTGGCCCATGGACTGAAGGAGCATGTGAGGCTCGGGATTAAACCCTCCCTGCCACCGGCTGCCCTGCAGCTGTGGGTCCTGCTGCTGCGCTCTGTGGGGTGACCTGGGGAGCTGTGACAAGCTGCCATGCCCAGGAGGGCACGGTGGGAGCCAGGGCCTGGCAGCAAACCCTACGGATGGTTCAGATGCTGACTGTGGGCTAAGCCCTCCGTGACTTGGTCCCTCTCCCACACAGCAGGGAGGAAAGCAGCACTCCAGCTCTCAGCTGAGAAGCCGAGGTGAAAGCATTCCTTGAACAGCATCTTTCTAAACCCTGCTCATGGAAACACACTGCTTGTAGCATTAAATATGGCTGTGCCAGCAAAACACCTTGCTTAAATAGCCGGCGTGCTGCGTAGCCTGCCTGTTGCAACACTACTTCACACCACCATGGACTGATATGGACGGTCTCGCACCGGTCACCCTGCCGCCCTCCCCAAGGCTTTCTTGGTGCAAATCAGGAAGACCTGGAAGCATCCTTCATTTGATTTGAAAGCACAGGGAGGATTTTTGGGAGAGGACCAGGCAGAACACTGTCTCTTCCAGCACACCATCCTGGGTGCTAACAGATTCCCTCCAGCACTGACCCGTCCTTTGCCGCCACCACCACCATGGGGGTCACCCCCATGTGCCATCCCCGAGAGGGGCTCCCTGTGCTGCTCTTCCCCTGCAAATGTCTTCTCCCACCTTCCCCTCCCAGCACCACAGCTCAAAGCAGCAAACCTCTTCTGGGCAATCATCATGGGGACAGAGACTAGGAATGGGGCCGCCTTGGGCCACCTCTTCCCTTGGGCTGCAGTCCTCAGATCAGCTAGAAACCACTTCAGCCTGCTCTGCTGCCTTCCCTGGGGAGGTTGTCCTGAGATTCAAGCCTGAGCATGGGATGTTTCCCTGTGGCCATCTCCTGGTTTACTGCAGAGCAGCAAAAATAGTCAGAATTGGGTATTTCCAGTGCTTTACTGGTGCAAATCCAGCAAAAGTCCCCTCCTGGTGTGCAGAGTGCCTTAGAGCAGCCAACTTTCCAGCCTTGCTAAATGAGCCCTTATTTACACCTGCCTCTTATTTACACCATGAGTGCTGGCGCCTCTGAGCCGGGCTCTTGCCTGGGGATGGGCGCTGACGCACACGAGCATCCTTGCCAACAGGAACTTGAAGCACGGCATCAGGCAGGAACGGGCAAGCTGTCGTGGGCAGGAGAGCCTGCACGGGGCCTGCGCTGAGACACGCGGCGAGTTATCCCTCAGGAGCAGCTTCCCTGCACCATCGTTAGCTGGGATAATTTATTCGCTCGTATCAATCAGGGGTTATGTAAAATAAGTACATGCAGAAATTGCTATAGCTCCATATAGTCTTTAGTCCACTCGGCTGCCTGGGGGAAGGGGGGGCTCTGGTTTTGCTGGGGGGCTGCTGCCGCTGCTCTGCAGGGTTGAGGGCAATGCTTATCGGCACGCACCTCTGCCTGCTCACACCAGCATCTTCCTGGGATGCTGGGGAGAGCAAAGCTCTTCTGAAGCAAGTAATCCCCTTGGCCTTACTACTAGAGCTGGAAATAACTTTCTAATGACTTTTCCTTGATCCAAAAGAATGAAGATTTGATGAGAAGCATCTGACTACTCAATTTTTTTTTTTGATTTAGGGTTTTGCATCACCAAAGTTGGAAAACTTCCAGCCTGTTAATTTTTTTTTTCCTTCCCCCTTCTATAAAAACCTTAAAGAGAAGGAAGAAGAGCGCCAGTGTAAATATTCTTGGCAAACTTTCCCAGGACCACAACCTCCGTCCTGGCCAAGTCTTCCTGATGCTGTTGCAGCCCTCAGCGTCCCCGCTGTCTGCAGCGGAACACCCCGGTGTCCCTCCGGTGGCGGCTGATGCCCAGACTGTCAGTTGTCACAAGCTGCATCTTAAAAATAGCTTGTTGCAATTTCTAGAGGCGCCTTCCCACCCTTAGGTTTGAGGTTGTAACCGGATTAAGTCTGTGGTGGGTGTCTTCATCCAAAATGGCTCAAGAGACCAAGGCAGGATGGTGCGAGGTGTGGACAGGGATGCTCAGGTGCCCAGCAAGCAGCTCGAGTGAGCTGCAAAAGCCTTTCTCTACTGCCCTTGGAGCTGGTGGTGACAGCGGCAACATCCTGCAGAGTTATGCAGAGGTCCTGCTTGCTTCCATGCCGACAGCACCTCTGGAGCCACACGCTCCACTGCTAATCAGGCAGAGTTCGATAATTAAGACGTTAGCTAATTGTCAGGGACATTAACATTGATTTCTGCCCTTTCATGCTGCAGGAGCGGATCTAGGGATACGTAAACTGGGAAGCGCACACTGGGGAGAGGCTGCGGTGGTTCAGGAGGGCTCTGCCCCGGCTGCTGCTGTGTTTGCTGGGTGCCGTGGGACTCCAAACGGGAGTCTGGCACTACCCCCTGTAAATGCAGAGCCGAAGCCTGGAGCAAAAGCAGCACCCAGTGTCTGTGCCAGGCAGAGCAATACCTGTTGGTGGCAGAGCTGTGGGATGTGCCCGGCCACGGGGGGGCTGGTCCAGAGCAAAGGTGCATCCGTGTGGGAGCAGGGAGCAATGGGGATGGGTCTCGAGCTCCCTGCAGATGGCTTTTAGTGGGAATGAACATAAAACTTAGCAACTGAGTCACCTTCTCATTAAACATGGGAAAGCTTTATCAAATTAAGGCCACTTAAAAGAGTCTGGGCAGAAGCTAAGTGCAATTTAGTTTCTGAAGTGGATTGACTCAGCTGAGCCATGCCTACGTGAATTCATGCAAGCACCCAGGGCACCTCTTGCTCTGCTGCTTGCACCCCCTGGGACAGACAACGCAAAGGGCTCAATCCTGCAAGACGCTCAACCCCTTGCTCCAGAGCCACCAACATCACTTGGGGCTTCATGAGACACAGCACCCCACCATGCCTCTCCCTGCCTGTGCCGCTGCCTCCTCTGCCCTCCCCTGCTCTGTCCTGGTTTGCAATGAGCAGCTCCCAGAGCAGCGCACCACACCGCTGGGCTCGCGTCCGCACGCTTCCAAGGAAGCGCCGGGGCCTCATCGATCTGCTGGGGTAATTAAGAGAGCGAGCCAGGCACCGCCGTAGCGACAGCAGCACAGTAATGGCTGGCAAAGTGGGCACGGCGGGGTGCTGTCAGCCGCCTGGCACCCAGCCTGCGGAGACGCGGCTCTGGGCAGCAAGCACTCGGGACAGCCACCTTGAAGCCTGCCATCCCTGCCCAAGCAGCAATGTTAGAGATCACAATGGTGGCTGTGAACTGATTCTCACTAGGCTCCCGCAAACCGCCCTCCGTAGCCCGTTCAGTTGCTATTGCTAAGTGGCTTGAACTCACTGCCTTCCCCCCCCTCCAGCCCCCAGCTCATGAGACTGGTTTAAAAACCTGCGAGACTTGATGATTTGGGTTCCTTTTATTAGCTTTTCTTCACATCCTTAAGAGCAAGACACTTGAAGATGAGAGTAAAAGAAAATAGCAGAAAATCCCAGGACTCGGGGAGCTAAGGATTTGCATAAGACATCAAATGAGATGAAGCCTGGGCTGCCATCAGGGGAGATAGCAGCTGCGTGCACTGTGTCGCGCCGGTGCCATGTGTTCTGCCCTCTGGCTTTGCTCACCCAAGACTTTCACACCCACAGGCAGAAAGCCTCTTAAAAGAGCAATGTGCAAAATACAACTCCCCCAGCAGCAGCAGCAGCCCCAGCTTCTCCCGCCTTGTGCTGAGCTCTCAGCCTGAAAGCATCCCTGCAGACAGGTCTCT